GACCACCACCCATCCTTGCAGCTTCTCACGACTCTCCGAACTTCCAAGCGAAGGCTGCGGTAAGCCTCCTCATTCTCTGACGTGGGATGCTGTAGCCGATGAGAGTGGGCCTGTCGCTTTTTCTCAACCAGCTTGAACACTTCCTCTGTCAGCCAGCGTCTCTGGGGAGGTCTGGACCAAGTACCCAAAGCAGCCATTGCAGCTGCATGAGTCACAGTCCTAAACCTCGCCCATTTGCCCTCGACATCAGGAGTGGGGGACGATGCCAACCCCAGCCGCAAGCGATGATGAAATTCTCGCTTGCAACTTCCATCAGCTAGCTGAGACCAGGCCACCTTAGGTTGGAATGGGGTCCTGGGTGTACACCCACCACCGGAGTGGAAGAATGGCAGGCGCATCTTACAGATGACAAGTCGATAGTCAGAGGGCAGATCAGCTCCACGGTAGGTCCTGGTGTCAAGGACATGGGCTCGGATCTGCTGGTCCGTCACTATGTAGTCCAGCAAATGTTCTTGCTTGGACACGGCATGCATCCATGATGTTGTGACTTTCCATCAATGGATGAACTTTCAAATCACAAGCTGCAGGCAGACTCTAACCACTAGGCTACCCAGACAGATATTTATTCCCCAGCCAGATATGTTTTCTCATACATTCTCAAACCAAAATGTTATTATTCAGGCAGGCAAAGTACAGCATCAGAATCAGGATATGTATTTATACTGGAGGAATCCGATGAGCTTCATGTTGAGAATTCAAATGCCAACCCAAAACTGTCCGATTCAAGGACAGCAGCAACATCAACATTAGCGAAGCGGAAAGCTCTGGCAGAGACAAAAAAGAGACAAAATATAAACTGGCTCAACAAGACGCTGACTGGGTTGGCACGCACGGAGATTTCGATGCGAGATGGATTCAGCAGCTGACAGGACGATGCAGAGTCGCGGGTACAAAGGACAAGGGGGCACCCCACCACCGGCTTTGCCGATCAGAAAGAGAAAACTCTCCCACCTCCAGAACGATGCAGGTAAACCCGTACGGTGTACCTGTATGCCTGTGAAGGGAAACTTCGTTTTCAGGTCCATACGGCGTACAGCCATTTCAATACGGGCAAACATGTTTTGTCTATTTATAGTGTTTCTCCCTTGTGAAGGGACTTTGTAGGATGGACGTTGAGATTTAGAAGGGCACGGAGTGACCAATAAGGTCTGAGTTTGTCTGTAATAAGGGAGGGCACTTATAAGGGGTTGACAGGCACGAACGACCACCGTCAATTGCAGATGCCACCAACGCTTCACAGGCGCTCTCTGTCGTTTACAGGATGCGACCTTTGCAGCAGTCATGCAGGAAAATGTTCAAACGAATGGACATCTTCTTAAATAAAAAAAAGTGAAACCTCAAAACCCATTGTCTTCTGCCGATGAAAGACTGCTAACCAGAATACCACATCATATTAAACCCGTTTTGGCCTCCCTGCACTGGCTTCCAGATTCACATAGAAGACAGTTTAAAATACTATTGTCAACTTCGAAAGCAGTGAACCATCTTGCCCCAGCCTACATCATTGATATGCTACACCCATATGTCCCCTCAAGGTCCCTAAAATCTGGGGGATGCAGATCATCTCTGCATTCCTAGGTCGAGGTTTCGGCCTATGGGCGACCGAGATTTTTTCCCGTGTAGCTCCCAGGTTATGGAACGCTCTTTCAGGAGACATCAGGATCTCCGAGTCTGTGGACGATTAAAAAATGTGCCTTAAAACCTATTTATAAGCTTCCGCTTTTTAAACTTTTAGTTCATCTGGTAAATGTTTATGCTGAGTGTCTGCTGCTGCTGTGATGAAAATCGGTATATACATGGAATTATCATTATTATGGGTAATGACCCTTCAAGGCAGATGCTATCTTACTGAAATGTTACCTAAATTACGCAGACATTGCAATAAACATTACATGGACTGTACACTATGCCCGAATTGTGTACATTTGTGACATTCGAACCGATGACAACATGGCGTTATGACGAAGTGAAGACCACTTAGCTAAAAATGCCATAAACCAAGATTGACAGCAAGAGGAAATGCGTAACCCCAGATTAATTGGATGACTGCGCATGCATACAAATTGCACGCTCGAATGCCACGTAAAATCTCACACAAATAAATACAAAAATTCCCCTCCCCATTTGCAATTCACCATCACAGCGAGCAACATTTACAGTATTAAGCCGGTGAGGTGGCTGTTGAATCCCGAGTGAGCCCGCAAGCAAACCAATAAGGTAGCGACCAGGCCGGCGTCGACAATTAATGTTAAGGCTGAGTCGACCTAGGAGGGGCCCACATATACCGTGCATGTAAAACGTGACCACGAACCCACAGCAGACGCCCATTACGTTGATGAAAGTACCGCAAACACATGCACGGACGCATGTGTAGTGTTGTGGATTCTAGAGACGTCGGACTCGGGTCTTGGAGGCAACACTATTTATTAACACAACGTTCGGCAGTACAACCCGGCACACTCAGGGCAACGGCCCTTCTATCATACACTGCCTGGGGAGGTACTGCCTGCGAACTGACTTGCCTAATACAGGACTGTTACTCTGGGTCCTCCGGCTATGGATGCCTAGGGGAGGCTAATCTAACCCGACCTAGCTAGGGTGCGGGTTCCAACCACTGGCTAAGGACGTCGGGCCGGGGATTCCCAGGGTCTCAGCACTGAGCCACACAGAGTCCAAGGCCTTGACAAGGGCAGCGGGGCTAGGGGGTCCCAGGGTCCTAGCTGACCACTCTTCTGGCTTCTGTCTTCAACTAGCCCCGAGCCTGGAGAGAGGTCAAGCTTTTATACACCTCCCAACCCGAGGGGAGGGGTCGCGGGGGATCACAGGACACCCCACAGCCCCCACCCGAGGGGCGGGGTCGTGGGGGATCCCAGTACACCCCACAGCCCCCACCCGAGGGGCGGGGTCGTGGGGGATCCCAGTACACCCCACAGCCCCCACCCGAGGGGCGGGGTCGTGGGGGATCCCAGTACACCCCATAGCCCCCACCCGGGGGGAGGGGTCGTGGGAGATCACAGTACACCCCACAGCCCCCACCCGAGGGGCGGGGTCGTGGGGGATCCCAGTACACCCCACAGCCCCCACCCGAGGGGCGGGGTCGTGGGGGATCCCAGTACACCCCACAGCCCCCACCCGAGGGGCGGGGTCGTGGGGGATCCCAGTACACCCCACAGCCCCCTCCTGCTCCCGGGCTAGGAGTGTTGCGACTGCCCCTACTGGACTGTGTCAGCCACTACACAGGTAGGTGTACACAGCCCGTATATGTCGCTACACCCAGCCCACACACATGTTAAAAGTTGCACGTGTTTAAACAAAAAAATACTAAAACATTCCGAACACACTGATAAATAATACGTATCAGACACAAATAAGATAGGGTTCATGCATCGTATGTACTTGGGCCGTACTGTATACTCTACCGTGAAACACGTGAAACGACTAATAATTTTTCCTGTTTAAGTCACGCATGCTATAGTTCCCTTTTTAACCTGCTGGCCCTCGTCCGTGACCTGCTGGTAGCAGGAGCAAGTTGCTTGCTGCCAGCCCAGCAACCTCCTTCATGAAGATGTGCTATGAATGAGAAAAAAAAGGCACGCTTCCCGAAACGTCGCCTGCTATTTATGTATCGCGTTCTCTGTCAAGACGGCGGTTAGCGACGGACGCGTTGAGTTTATTTGAGTTCTCTTTGTGCGGCCCAGTGTCAACGAACGCCGTGTCGCCAAAGTAATCGCTTCAAAAGAACGCCCAATACATAATACAGTACATACATACACGTCGTGCTGCGAACTTGTCATAACATGCATTAGAACCATCCAGCAGTGGATTACCACCAGGGCTGCACGTGTACCAACACACACACACAGAACCATCCAGCTGTGGATTACCACCAGGGCTGCACGTGTACCAACACACACACATAGAACCATCCAGCAGTGGATTACCACCAGGGCTGCACGTGTACCAACACACACACATAGAACCATCCAGCAGTGGATTACCACCAGGGCTGCACGTGTACCAACACACACACAGATAGAACCATCCAGCAGTGGATTACCACCAGGGCTGCACGTGTACCAACACACACACATAGAACCATCCAGCAGTGGATTACCACCAGGGCTGCACGTGTACCAACACACACACAGAACCATCCAGCAGTGGATTACCACCAGGGCTGCACGTGTACCAACACACACACATAGAACCATCCAGCAGTGGATTACCACCAGGGCTGCACGTGTACCAACACACACACACAGAACCATCCAGCAGTGGATTACCACCAGGGCTGCACGTGTACCAACACACACACATATAACCATCCAGCAGTGGATTACCACCAGGGCTGCACGTGTACCAACACACACACATAGAACCATCCAGCAGTGGATTGCCACCAGGGCTGCACGTGTACCAACACACACACATAGAACCATCCAGCAGTGGATTACCACCAGGGCTGCACGTGTACCAACACACACACATATAACCATCCAGCAGTGGATTACCACCAGGGCTGCACGTGTACCAACACACACACATAGAACCATCCAGCTGTGGATTGCCACCAGGGCTGCACGTGTACCAACACACACACACAGAACCATCCAGCAGTGGATTACCACCAGGGCTGCACGTGTACCAACACACACACATATAACCATCCAGCAGTGGATTACCACCAGGGCTGCACGTGTACCAACACACACACAGAACCATCCAGCAGTGGATTACCACCAGGGCTGCACGTGTACCAACACACACACATAGAACCATCCAGCAGTGGATTACCACCAGGGCTGCACGTGTACCAACACACACACATAGAACCATCCAGCAGTGGATTACCACCAGGGCTGCACGTGTACCAACACACACACATAGAACCATCCAGCAGTGGATTACCACCAGGGCTGCACGTGTACCAACAAACGTACCGCAGCCATCACGCGTTCCCTGAAAATAAAAAAGACGTCGTGCCGTGCGCCTCCGCCGCAAATTGAAGAGGAGGAGGACGACGACGACGAAGGATTATTAATCCGCGACGATGATGACGATGTTGCCGCTGCTGCTGATGATGCTGCTGCTGCTGATGATGCTGTTGATGTTGCGGGTGGTGTTCGTCGCAATGCCCAGAAGGCAGGGGCAGTCGCAGTGCTTCACGAGCCGCCAAGACCACGAACGCACCACCGCCTTTTGACGCGCTCTTAATTATTCAACTCAGCCGACCAGCGGACGTAGCCCCCCCCTCTCTCTCCCACACCACACACCAAGAGTAACACCCTCATTGCTAACGACACGACGTATTTGCACAACACACACACACAGTGACTCTGTGTGCGTGTGTGAACAAAGGAACCCCGTGATGGTGCGCGTCTCAGATGGCCCCCACCACCGCACACACAATACGCTTGCTTTGCACGGAGCTCAAACAACGGACCCTGTGCTGCTGCTGCAGTGGGCAGTGATCATTGCAGTGGTAGGCAGTGATCATTGCAGTGGTGGGCAGTGATCATTGCAGTGGTGGGCAGTGATCATTGCAGTGGTGGGCAGTGATCATTGCAGTGGTGGGCAGTGATCATTGCAGTGGTGGGCAGTGATCATTGCAGTGCTGTGGGCAGTGCTCATTGCAGTGGTGGGCAGTGATCATTGCAGTGGTGGGCAGTGATCATTGCAGTGGTTGGCAGTGCTCATTGCAATGGTGGGCAGTGATCATTGCAGTGGTTGGCAGTGCTCATTGCAGTGGTGGGCAGTGATCATTGCAGTGGTGGGCAGTGATCATTGCAGTGGTGGGCAGTGATCATTGCAGTGGTGGGCAGTGATCATTGCAGTGGTGGGCAGTGATCATTGCAGTGGTGGGCAGTGATCATTGCAGTGCTGTGGGCAGTGCTCATTGCAGTGGTGGGCAGTGATCATTGCAGTGGTGGGCAGTGATCATTGCAGTGGTTGGCAGTGCTCATTGCAATGGTGGGCAGTGATCATTGCAGTGGTTGGCAGTGCTCATTGCAGTGGTGGGCAGTGATCATTGCAGTGGTGGGCAGTGATCATTGCAGTGGTGGGCAGTGATCATTGCAGTGGTGGGCAGTGATCATTGCAGTGGTGGGCAGTGATCATTGCAGTGCTGTGGGCAGTGCTCATTGCAGTGGTGGGCAGTGATCATTGCAGTGGTGGGCAGTGATCATTGCAGTGGTGGGCAGTGATCATTGCAGTGGTTGGCAGTGCTCATTGCAATGGTGGGCAGTGATCATTGCAGTGGTTGGCAGTGCTCATTGCAGTGGTGGGCAGTGATCATTGCAGTGGTAGGCAGTGATCATTGCAGTGGTGGGCAGTGATCATTGCAGTGGGCAGTGATCATTGCAGTGGTGGGCAGTGATCATTGCAGAGGTGGGCAGTGATCATTCCAGTGGTGGGCAGTGATCATTGCAGTGGTGGGCAGTGCTCATTGCAGTGGGCAGTGATCATTGCAGAGGTGGGCAGTGATCATTCCAGTGGTGGGCAGTGATCATTGCAGTGGTGGGCAGTGCTCATTGCAGTGGGCAGTGATCATTGCAGTGGTGGGCAGTGATCATTGCAGTGGTGGGCAGTGATCATTGCAGTGGGCAGTGGTCATTGCAGTGGGCAGTGCCCATTGCAGTGGTGGGCAGTGATCATTGCAGTGACCAGTCCTCATTGCAGTGGTGGGCAGTGCTCACACAAGACAAAGCCCCCCCTCTCCCTGTGTAGCCTTAACAGAATGTCGGGGCAAGTGCGACGAGGGACTCGGGTGACCGGCACCCACGCCCGACCGCCTTAAGTGCTCACACACAGCACCAGGTACTCGTTTGAGGCTGAGTCGACATAGGGGAACACCTCTGTCTGGTTTCTAATATTCGTGAGTGGGAGTCGAACTCGGGCCGTCAGGTTTGCATCGCGATGCTCTAACCAATGCGCCACCGCTACCCACGCGTACATACATGCGGTACACACACACACACAGATCCCGTGTAACCTAACCAGACTGTTGGGCTAATGCTGCCCAGTGAACGTGTGTGTTCGCTCACAGCACACAAGACCCGTGGAGCCTCGGACTATGGTGACATTAGCGAGCAGCCCTCGTTCAGACCGAGGCGAGAACCACGTCGTCGTCGTCGCCTTCATCTTCACCCTCCACACTGCCGTTTCCACACGGGACGGCGCACGTGGAAGAGAGGCGCACAGCGCTCCGGCGTACGTCTCATTACGCGGGCACCCACGTCCTTCACCCCCTCCCCTCCTGCCTCCCTGCCTCCTCCCCTCACCCCCGGCGGGTACAAGTCCCCAGCATCTACCCACCCCCCACCACACATCGCTCACCACCACCACATCGCTCACCACCACCACCACTCCATCCCCCACCCCCCAAGGTAACTTCCTCCTCCTCCTCGTCGTCCACTGGCAACACCCAAGCCGGGACCGGGGGTGCCGTTATTCCACGGGGCAGGGTAGGGGGGGGGCTGGTAACGCGTGGCTGTCATTGGCGGAGGGCTCAGCCGCGCCGGCAATTCCACCAATCCCCTGAGGGCTTCTAGAGACCCCTCCCCCCCACCTGCCCGATGTCCCGAGACGGGGCAGGGGCGAGGAGACGGGAAGGGGTTGATGGTGGGGGGGGGTATTGTGGTTCATGGTGGGGGGGTATTGTGGTTGATGGTGGGGGGGTATTGTGGTTCATGGTGGGGGGGTATTGTGGTTGATGGTGGGGGGTTGTGTTGGGGGGAGAAGTTGATGGTGGGGGGTTGTGTTGGGGGGAGGAGTTGATGGTGGGGGGTTGTGCTGGGGTGAGGAGTTGATGGTGGGGGGTTGTGCTGGGGTGAGGTGTTGATGGTGGGGGGTTGTGCTGGGGTGAGGGGTTGATGGTGGGGGGTTGTGCTGGGGTGAGGAGTTGATGGTGGGGGGTTGTGTTGGGGGGAGGAGTTGATGGTGGGGGGTTGTGTTGGGGTGAGGGGTTGATGGTGGGGGTTGTGTTGGGGGGAGGAGTTGATGGTGGGGGGATGAGTTGATGGTGGGGGGTTGTGCTGGGGTGAGGAGTTGATGGTGGGGGGTTGTGTTGGGGGGAGGAGTTGATGGTGGGGGGTTGTGTTGGGGGGAGGAGTTGATGGTGGGGGGTTGTGTTGGGGGGAGGAGTTGATGGTGGGGGGTTGTGTTGGGGGGAGGAGTTGATGGTGGGGGGTTGTGTTGGGGGGAGGAGTTGATGGTGGGGGGATGAGTTGATGGTGGGGGGTTGTGCTGGGGTGAGGAGTTGATGGTGGGGGGTTGTGCTGGGGTGAGGTTTGATGGTGGGGGGTTGTGCTGGGGTGAGGGGTTGATGGTGGGGGGTTGTGCTGGGGTGAGGAGTTGATGGTGGGGGGTTGTGCTGGGGTGAGGAGTTGATGGTGGGGGGTTGTGCTGGGGTGAGGGGTTGATGGTGGGGGGTTGTGTTGGGGGGAGGAGTTGATGGTGGGGGGTTGTGTTGGGGTGAGGGGTTGATGGTGGGGGGTTGTGTTGGGGGGAGGAGTTGATGGTGGGGGGATGAGTTGATGGTGGGGGGTTGTGCTGGAGTCAGGAGTTGATGGTGGGGGGTTGTGCTGGGGTGAGGAGTTGATGGTGGGGGGTTGTGCTGGGGTGAGGAGTTGATGGTGGGGGGTTGTGCTGGGGTGAGGAGTTGATGGTGGGGGGTTGTGTTGGGGGGAGGAGTTGATGGTGGGGGGTTGTTTGGGGGGAGGAGTTGATGGTGGGGGGTTGTGCTGGGGTGAGGGGTTGATGGTGGGGGGTTGTGTTGGGGGGAGGAGTTGATGTTGGGGGGTTGTTTGGGGGGAGGAGTTGATGGTGGGGGGTTGTGCTGGGGTGAGGGGTTGATGGTGGGGGGTTGTGTTGGGGGGAGGCGTTGATGGTGGGGGGTTGTGCTGGGGTGAGGGGTTGATGGTGGGGGGTTGTGTTGAGGGGAGGAGTTGATGGTGGGGGGTTGTTTGGGGGGAGGAGTTTATGGTGGGGGGTTGTGCTGGGGTGAGGGGTTGATGGTGGGGGGTTGTGTTGGGGTGAGGGGTTGATGGTGGGGGGTTGTGCTAGGGTGAGGGGTTGATGGTGGGGGGTTGTGTTGGGGTGGGGGGTTGTGCTGGGGTGAGGAGTTGATGGTGGGGGGTTGTGCTAGGGTGAGGGGTTGATGGTGGGGGGTTGATGGTGGGGGGTTGTGCTAGGGTGAGGGGTTGATGGTGGGGGGTTGTGTTGGGGTGAGGGGTTGATGGTGGGGGGTTGATGGTGGGGGGTTGTGCTAGGGTGAGGGGTTGATGGTGGGGGGTTGTGTTGGGGTGAGGGGTTGATGGTGGGGGGTTGATGGTGGGGGGTTGTGCTAGGGTGAGGGGTTGATGGTGGTAACTGTTTGGTGGCTGAAGGAATAAGGATGTTATATTGAGGCGCGTGAACGTGAAGGGTCTGGTGTGGGGCTTAACTATACGACAGCGCGTTGAGTGAAGGGTGTTCTGGAGGTGGGAGTTTTGTTGAATTAATGCGAGGGGGCCGATGGAGGATGACACACAACTGTATTTAGTGGAGAGGCTGTTTCGGCGTTATGTAAGACAGAGAGGCAGCGAGTGAAGATGGTGGTTGCACGTTATTCTTTCGTTTTTTTTTTCAATTTTAACATTGCTCGTGTCATGAGACAAACGATTCATTGCGAATTCTCACAGAATGGAATGCCCCAACGTGTCAGAGAATGGACTGTGCGCAAGATATATTTTTTCCCCCAGGACATTTTTAAAAAAGCTAATTCAAGTGACCCTTTAGAATGTATACTGTTTTGATTTAAAGCTTTCGTGACTGCAGGGATTCATTTTTTTATTTTTATTATTTTATTGTTTCCCTTCTACGTGACTTTACCGAAAGAACCAAGAATATGAAGTATACTGTCTTAAGATTTACCATGTCGAGTGTAAAAACAAAATGAATATAAAAGTTTTGTTTGTACAAGTCTCTGGTGTTAAGGCTGAGACAAAACAACTCACTGACATACGATGTAGTCATAGGCAGGGTTTTCAAACAGTTGACCAAAGACAGAATGGGAGTCGACAGCACGGATGACTAAGGGACTAAGAGTTTCAGACTATGTGGGCAGTAGAGAAGCTGAGTTACTAAGAGATAGGCATGGGATGCCATATGGGATCTTGAAGAGGGTAAGGACAAATCCTGGAGTTAATCTGGAATATGGATGCCATAAAATAGCGGCAAAACAGAAATATACACCAATGTCATCATCATTACCAAATTACAGAAATTCGTAAGGATTAACAATTGTGTATGTATATTACCGTACATTCACTATATATACTAGCCTGGTTATTGGCTAGCCGGTCATTAAAGTTTAAATAGGGGGGGGGATTAAAATGCATATTTGGTTACTGCCACCAGGCCTTCTACAAAGA